TCTCTCCCTCTCTTTCTCCCTCCCCCCAACTCTAAAAAATAAGTAAAATCTTAAGAAGCAGAATGACATTTGCGACAACATGGATGGACCTTGAGAATATTACAATAAGTGAAACAAGCCAGTCAGAAAAAGCTAAGAACCATATAATTTCACTCATATGTAGAATATAAAATTGAAATTCATAGACACAGACAGACAACAGCTGAAATTCATAGACACAGACAGACAACAGCATGGTGGTTACCAAGAGGGAAGAGAGTGGGAGAATAGTAAAGGATAAAGGAAGCCAAATATATGGTGACAGAAGATGATTTGACTTCGGGTAGTAGGCACATAATGTGATATACAGATCACGTACCATAGAAATAAGTAAAAACTAGAACTGTTCATTTCTATCATGTATCAGAGAAATGTATACTTGAATCTTATTTAAGTATTAAATAAAGTTGTTTTTTTATTCCCCTGAGTCTCCATCTGTAAACTTCCTTTTTATATTTAAGAATTCGTTAGGACTCAACTAATTCATTTTTCATTACAGTTTTTAAATTATAATTCTAATTAATGTCTATTTATATACAACTTTCTAAGACCACATAAGGAAAATGTGCAGACATTTAAATCCAACTTGGCATTTTATTTAGCAGTAATAAAACATCCACATCAAATGGATCACTCAAGTACTTGTAAATACACCTCTCTCTCACTTCAGCATTTAAGGATAAAATAAGAGACTACAGAAATAAACCTGTTGCTTAAGTTTAAAAACATAGGCATTTCCTATCACCAAATCACCTATCACAATAATCACAAATATGTGATATTGGTACACTTTCCACCAGGCCTTAACATCTTTGCTCCTCAGAACAAAAAAAATTTAAATGTTTTGAAATAATTTTTATTCTAATTTAATAGCACACATCACTTATTAAAAGGAAGTCAGTATATTTGTGCTGTATACAGACATATATATATTAATTACAAGTAATATTATTGATCCCATAAAAAAATTCATTAGATAGCCTGGATTGGTGTAGCTCAGTGGACTGAGCGCAGGCCTGCGAACCAAAGGGTTGCTGGTTCCATTCTCAGTCAGGGCCCATGCCTGGGTTGTAGGCCAGGTCCCCAGTAGGGGACACGCGCGAGACACAACCATATATTGATGTTTCACTCCCTCTCTCCTTCCTTTCCCCTCTCTAAAAATAAATAAATAAATAAAAAATTTAAAAAATCTTTAGATAATTCCAGTAACATAAAAGTAATAAAAAAGAAACTTTTATAGTAATATAAAAGAAACTTTTCCCTAAAAATTCTTTAGATAATTCTAGTAACATAAAAGTAATATAAAAGAAACTTCTAGTATTATAAAAGAAACTTTTCCCTAAAAATAATTTATCATGTCCCATCACAAAAAAAATAATAGTAAGATGAAAATATTTCTTAAGTTCAAGAGTACGGTGAAAAACAATGAGAAAAGCTGGCGTAACTCAATGTACTTCACTGGAACGGTCAGAAAAAGAAGCATGAGTTCGGTTCACGTAAACATGAATCTGCTAACCCACCTACCTACCGGCCTGCGGCCCTGTCCCACGAGTGTGACTCAGACGCTGCAGGTGTCAAAGCAACTGCCAGCCATAGCAACAGGCAGCCATGACAACAGCGGGAGTCGGAGACGTCAGACAGTCAGGACAACAAAGCGAGAGGCGCAGGTGAGCGTCGAGCTTTCCGGCCAGACTCCCGGGATCAGGGCCGTGGCCGAGGAAGGTGAAAGCGGGGACGTTAGGAACACTGAGTTGCCACCCGCTGCACCAACTCCGCAACAGTCCCCACTCTCCCGGCTGACGCCTGGGAGGCGAGAAGGCGCCAGAAGGGCACAGATGAATAGCGAAGGGGCTGAAAAAGAGGAATTAGGGCGGAAAAGTTCAAGGGGCGGCGGGGCGGCGAACAGAAATCGTCGCCCACGGGGCCTCGTAATGTAAAAAGGCGACAGGAAGGGGCAAGTGAAGACGGCACTCACCTGGGTCTTTCCAGCCCTGAGCAGGGCCTACGATCAGAAGCAAAAGGAGACCGAGGAAAGGGCAGCGTCTATCCGCGCCCGGCCCACCCGCCACGGCCATGGCACTAGGCGAAGATGGTGCGCGGCTGCCAGGCACTCGTGGACTGGAATCAGACCTGTGGAAATCCGCGCGCAGCTGCACAGGGACGCCAAGAACGCTGGCCTCGAGAAAGGGACAGTCGGTCGACAGTCGCAACAGCTATGGACGTCCGTGAGCCTGCCTTACGTCACTACCGCTGAGGCGCTTTTAGGATCCTGAGTGGTCGCCGCCGGCCCCGCCCCTGAGGCGGCGGGGGACCGGGCGCAGCGGTTGAGGGCGGGGCGAAAGGAGTGACGCAATCTACGGGCCGGGCCAAGGGCTGCTGTCTGGGAGATTCTCCGTGTAGGTGCTGATGTTCTGGAAGAGTGAAACCATTGCAATGCGAAATCTAAGATGTATGTACTCAGCCAAGTCAGGCATCTCCAAAACCTCAGTAACCTTCCCTGGGAAGTTGATGTGCTTTGCTCAACTTTGTTTTCAGCACCTAGTTGGCTACACAGAGAATTCAACCAAAAGATAACATGGAAATACACTGTCTTGTTTTAAAGGCTCAGAGCCTTCACATATTCCTTCTGCGTGGTGGCAGTAAGCGCTTAGAAAATATCAGGAGGAGAAACTACTGCCTAAATAAAGAATCAGCCAGAGGAAACAATTCTAGGAGGCTCTCATTCATTTATTCAACTTATATAGACTGAATACCTAATGTATGTCAGGTACTGTTTTACGCATGGAGGATACAGCCAAGGTCCCTGTGCTCAGGCATCTTACATTGAAGTGGGATAGGACACACAAAACTAAGTAGAAGAAGCCCACAGGGCTTTGGGTGCCCCCTCTGGCCACATGGCCTAGAAAACAAGAGAGACTTTGACTAGAATTTGATACAGAAGAACTCTTGCCAGTAGACCGTAAAAGAATGCCACATAACTTTGGCTTAACTAAAGATCCTGCCTGATACAGCTGACAGTACCAGCAACCTGAAACACAGATGTGTGCTCTTTCTTGATTTACAGTACCCGGAGTTGGGACAGTGCAAGTATGGAGCAAAGACATGAAAGTATTTTAGGTTGAAAAACTTGGTTTCTGACTGCTCTTTTACAATAATAGAACTGGAATTATAGGTGATAGCAAGGGGGACTTTGTGCAGCACTAAGAGAAGAATGCTGTTTTTATGCCAACCACTCAGGAGTAACGAGACAATGACTCCAGCTAGTATGCCTCAATGTTCAGAAACTCCCCCTGGCTGACCACCCTACTCTCAGGCATAGCTGAGCCACTATTAATATTATTATTATTAACTATTGGGCCCATAATACTCAACAAGATCCTCGCCTTCATCAGAGAATGGGTAGAAGTAGTCAAGCTAATGGTCCTGTCTCAGCCATATACCATACTACCTGGGGACGAGACCGAATCAACGGTTTGATTCATAAACAAGAGAAGGGGGGAATGTTAGGCCCGGAATTAGATAAAAGTAGCCCAGAAGAACCCCAGGCAGGCTCCAGACGTCTCAGCAAGGAAGATAGAAAGTACAAAGAGTGCTGAAAAAGATAACCGCCTTGTGCATGACCTTGTCTTTGCAGAAAAGTATCCATTGTTGCAAGCAGAGAACATAGCCATGTATGTTCTCTCGAGATAGCCAATTGCTGACAGCTATGTCTGCTTCTGTATTTGCTTGCTTGCTCACCCCAATAAAAACCCTAGGCTGTAAGCACCAGGCGCGACTCTTATTTGCAGCCATTTTGGCACCATGTCTCCGGACACCTCAAGAGTTCGCTCCTGCGCAGGTAAAACTTTGGCCAATAAAGTTCCATCTTAAACTCCTGAAAGCTTCTGACCATTTGTTGCTTGCATTGGTGGATGCTACAATACCCCATCTTATCTTAGTCCAGTGACGGAAAAGATTTAAATTCAAATTTTACATTACCCACCTCCATTTGTATCTTTTTAAAACCCTTCAAAAGATTCTTACTGCCCAGAATGGGGAGAGGGCGGCCTCATTCTATAGGACCCTGCTTTGTAACCATACTGCCACCTTAAACTCCAGCAAACCCACAGACCTCCAGTGGACCAAGTACTATACTCCCACAGTCCCCAGCCCAAACTCATCACCCCCACCTGGTTCACACACAATTCCTTCCCCAGGATGTCTTTTCCCTCTTCTCTAGTGACATTTCTGTACTTCCCTCTGTTGCTCCTCCCTCCGGGAACTCTTTTGACTGATCTAAATTGAAGGCTTTCATAGAACCATTCACCCGTTACCCTAGCAATTATCACTGTTGAATTTCCCGCTTTTTGTATCTGTCTCACTGAACTAGAAGCTCCTGAATAGGACAAACCGTACCCAGTTCGGTGACCTCAGTGACTTGCCCTGTGCCAACACATAGTCAATGTTCAGTAATTTCTACGATGAGTTAAAATGAGTGTATTTGTACCTCTGCTTTTTCCCTATATTTCTAGCCCTGTTACTACCCCCCAAAAAACCCGGCGATTCTCAGACTCCCAAGGGACTGGGTTTGTATTAAATCCACCCTTTATTAGGTCCCACTGCTTTCTCCGGAGGTGGGTTTCACCAGAGCCCTAGTTCTGAGTCGGACACCGAGGAGCCACGAGCAGACCAGCCAACTAGCCTCACTTCAACTTTATTACAAGGCTGGGAGGAGAAAGAAATGGATGCGCCTCGAGAATCGCAAAATTCTCCCCCAAAGACATCACACCGCGCCTTCTGAAGGTCGGAGGCTACTGGCGATCCCCGCTCATCAAAGACTCTGCGACATCTCGGGATGCCGGAGGAGCTTCAGAATGGAGCTTCCGCCAACCGCGAGACGCGTCAGGGGGATGGCGCCGTCACGCCCCGGAAGCGGGGCTGGGGAGGACAGCCTCCGTGGGCGGCGATCAGCCGTGTAGCTGACAAGCGAAGGAAGGGGTCGGCCTCCCAGCCCCAAGCCCGCGCGTCCCGCGCGTCCCCCGCGCCCCCCGCACCCCTGCGCCCGTGCGAGCCGCCGGCGGAAGTGCTGCGTCGCGCACTTCCGGGTGTTGTCTGGTGGCTGCACAGCCGCGCGTCTCTAGTCTCCCGGCAGCCGCCGCCGCCTCGGGTCCCGGAGCCAGGAGGGACGTTACCGCCATGGCCGGCATCAAAGGTGGGCCTGGGATGCAGGGCGCGGAAGGGCCGAGTGGCCGCCCGGCGCAGGGGCGGAGGGGCCCACGCGGCCCCCGCACGCCGCCGCCCCGGCCGGAGCACGCACGCGCTGCGGGGTCCCGCGCCTGAGGCCGACCCCTGACCCCCGCCTCCGCTCCCGGTGCCGCGGTGGGCGCGGGGCGCGGGGCGCGGCACTCTCCGTGAAAGGACCGAGAGGACCGCGGCTCCTGCGTCAGACCACACTTTCAGCTCATCTCGGCAGCCTCTGTCCACCCATCGCCCCCCGTGCAAAGAATGAAGTGGTCTGTGGTCCGTTTAAAGTCCCGCAGCAACTCCTTTTGCAGGAGTTTGCATTTGAGAAAGAGGGGAGCAGAGTGTGGAGTTTGAGGGGGTTGAGATGACCAGAGATGCCAGTTACGGAAAATCAGTGTCATTTCCCACTTAAAGGCACAAATGCGATCTCAGGGTGCTGAGCCGAATCGAGTCGCTCAGGAAGGATTAGCCCTGGAAGGGTTAAGGTCGGTTCGTCCCGAAACCTCGGCGACCACTATCGGTTTCAGGACCGGCGCTCGCGGCTTTCCGCGCTCCTAAACCATGCATTTTGATTTGATGCGTTTTGTGCTGTAGACTAAAACCCTCTAAGCGACTCCAAAGTGTTCCTGTTTTCTGCCCTTTCCCACCTTGCACGTTGAGGCTTTTTCACGTTTGAAAGTTTTTATTTAGTTGAGTTTTTTTAAAGATCAAATAATGTTAAAACTTAAGGAACAATTCGTCGTTTGAGTGTATTATTTTCTTTAGAAATAGGAATATAGGAATATTGCGTTCTTTTCAACTGGTAGTTCTGTTGTTGTGATTAGAAACCGATGCCAATGAGTAGCGTTTTCAGTTTGACCACAAACTTCACTGATTTCCTGACCTGCGGTTTTGTAAAAGGGGCAGCAAAGTAGGAAGTGAAAAACTTTGATAGCAGTGTTTTTTTGTGTGTATTTTATATCCTCTATGGAGAACCTTTGAGCATCTTTCCCAGAGCCACATTTTTCTTTTACTGTTTCGTGTTTATTTTTAATTTCTGAAGACATTTTGTTTCCCCTGTAAAACGTGGTCGTCTGTGCAGCTGAAGCACTTAATAATCTCCTTTTGAACCATAATAGACCTTTTAAAGTTCTTGTGTGAAAGGCATTATGGTAGACGGCTGTGGTTTTTAGGATGTTGCCAGGTTCCCATTTCTTCATTAATGCAGGAGTCTCTTTCTTAAAATAACTGTAATTTCTTCCTGTAAACCAGGATAAATATTTACTGGGCGGAAGTGTCTCAGATGGAATTGTACTTAACAATTTTGGTTTCAGTAATAGCTATTATGACTAGGATTGTTTATCAGGATATTTTCTTCTTGTTGGCCTGTTTATATTAAGGAGTGTTGCTACAATTGGAGTTCATTACTTATTATCGAGACCCTTTGCTACATAATGGATTTTTCTGGTAATGCCTAGGTTAGGAAACTGGTCCCCTCTATTGCTGTAATTTCTCTGTAATCACTGAACCAGCACCCTGTCTCTTGAGAGTTTGGGGAAATTGGGCTGCTCCGTCCCTAGGGTAGAGGCTTTGGGAAGAGAAACCAGACTCATCTAAGTTTCGTTTCCAAATGTTGCATCACTCAATTACAGGATAAATTTTTGTCTTGCTGATGTGTCATCTAGGACAAGCATTTATACACAAATGATGAAATTTGTATATAAATGAACCTAGTTGCTAATTTCATAAGACTGGAGAAACTTGACAAGACTTGGGAAAGCACTTTTGACCAATTGACTTAACCCCATAGGCTTTGGTCCCATGTAACTGGGAAGTGAGATGTCACATAAAATTATTTTTGACACCTGAATCTTAGCTCACTTTAATTTCTTGTGTTTATTAAAGAAGTTGTCTTTCATTGCCTTTTGAAGAGTATACTCAAAGAATTTAGATTCTTTCCTTTCTGATGGTAAGAACGAAATCATTGTTCTCTGTCACAGGACAGTTAACCCTCAGAGACTGACTCCTAAAGCTACTGGCCTCTTGGCCCAGATTACCAAACACTGGTATGCTTTTTGAGAATTTTTCTGCCTGGTTTAAAAAATTTTCAGTCTCCTCCCTGTCAGGTGGTCTGTCAAGAGGACAGATCTTGCTTATAAGCAGTTCATCTCATCTCTTTTTCATTTGTTTCAGTGTGGGGAGCAAGATCATGAAACTTACAAAATTTTATGTCATAAATTATAGGTAACATCTTTGCTGGGAAGAAAAGTTACTTTTTACTTAATTTTGTTCAGGGTACATGATTTTCTACTGAAATGTATTCATAAATGAGCATGGATGATTCTTTAAAATAAATGTTTTATTATGCTGAAATTCACACACTAATTGTATTACAAAACATGAACAAATAACCTCTGAATACGAGCCAAAGGGTCTGTGTATAAAGAATGTTGGCTTTAGTGTATAGTCTCTGTGACATGCATTTTGTCTCTTTTAATGACCTTCCTTTCCTCCAGGATTCTAAGCTATATTCCGGGTAAATGACTTCTGAATAAGTAAGGTATTATTATATATTATATAGCATCTATAGTGGTGAACCTAGCTCTTTGTCAACTACATTAAAAAAGTAGAGATGGGTTTTTTTACTTCTTCAGCATGCCTTATAACAAATATCTTTAGTGTTCAGAGAATATTTGCATTTCGGATCTAGTCCAACTCATAGAAGAAAGAACTGACACTCAATTGTAATTATTTAGGCAGCTAGTAGGACGCTGATAGGAGATGGGACCCTGACTTTCAGTTCAGGGCACAGCATCTTCCCCTCCACATCCTCTCTGCTCGCTTCCCTTCTTCCGCCCACCCCTTTGGCTCCTTTCATTAATTCTATAGGTATTTAATATTGAGTGTTAGGAGTGGGGCGTGAGCATCAACAACAGGAAAACTTTTGTGAAATGAACAAAAGGAAAGACAAATACAAATCAATGTAAGTGACAGCTGTGGTAGCTGAACAGAGGGTGGGTGTAGAGTGGAAGGAGCGCCTCTGCATGTGCAGGTCCCTCTGCCTGGAATGCGCCCCCAGGCGCCCGCGTGGTCCAGTTTCTCATTTCCTGTAGATCCCTGCTCAGGTGACACCTCCTCAGAGGTGCCTTCCCAGCCTCCTGTATCTAGAACAGCACTCCTTCCCTCTTACCCTGCCTGATTTTTTTTTTGGTGTTTTAAAGATTTTATTTATTTATTTCTAGACAGAGGGAAAGGGAGGGAGAAAGAGGGGGAGAGAAACATCGCTGTGTGGTTGCCTCTGGTGCTCCCCCAAGCAGGAACCTGGCCTGCAACCCAAGCATGTGCCTTGAACCAGCAACCCCTTGGTTCACAGGCCGGTGCTCAGTCCACTGAACCATACCAGCCAAGGCATGATTTTTTTTATAGCACTTAACATTTATTTGCTGCCTTTTTAAAAAATCATATTATTCTCTGGCTAGGATATAAGCTTCATGAGAGTAAGAGCTTTGATATTTTTTTTTCATTGCTCTATTTCCAGAATCAAGAACAGTGTGTGACATACATTAGGTGCTTAGTAGAGATTGAATGAATGAATGAGAGATAGGGACAATTACTCTTAGTAGGTTTGCAGAAACATTACTGAGGGAGAAATGACTGAGCTGCAATCTGAAAGAACAGTAGAAATTAAGTTGGAGGAAAGAATAAGGAGTAGGACAGGAGGGCAGGCTCCCCGAGTGTGAGAAGGCCGCATCTCATTTATTAACACATCCCCAGCACCTGCTACATATTTGGTGCTCAGTAAATATTTTTTAATGAAATGAATGAGTAAAGAAGTGTCTGAGGTAGGTGACAAAGCATGTGCAATATGGGTGAGGGAACCTGTCGATTTCTAGAACAGGAGAGAGGGCCGGTGTCACCAGAGTGCAGAGGACAAGGGTTAGTAAGTAGTCTGCTGTGATTGGTATGTGGCCGGGGATGCAAACAGGGCAAATAAGGAAAATGAAATGAGGACCTGTTTTGGACTGACCGAAGCAGATGGCATACTCAGTATTTTCCTGATCATTTGCATTGCATGCCCTTGTCAACTTCCTCAGTTGCCATGAAATAAAAGTTTAAATATTTCTTTCTCCTTTATTTCCATAACTGAAAATATTATGGCTTTGAGCACTAAGAGTTCAGGGCTGACATGACCTACATCAGTGCTTTAAATGAAAACTAAATCTGCCAAGCTACCACGTCAATGGGTTTCCTTGATTATGCCCATTTTAATTCAGAGTTTATTTACCCCCTTTACAGTTAATTTTGGCCTGTGTATGTTATTCTCTTAGGCATGCAGTTGCAGCAATATGGGCTATATAGAATTAGAAATAAATTGATCACATTTCTTTGCTTAATTCTGGGCCGTTGATTAACTATGCCTCTTCAAGAAAGTTGTTCCTATTCACTGATATATGTGAAAATACTTTGTAAAATATAATACTTTGTATGTGTGTATAAACTAAGAAACTACCATATTTTCAGACCATAAGGCACACCTAGGTTTTAGAGGAGGAAAATGGAAAAAAATTTTGAAGCAAAAATGTAAAATATTTAATAATATAAATAACATAATATTTCACCAGTGGAAATGTAAAACAACTCAACAGCAGCATTAACAACTATAATTCCTCCCAAATGTTTTTTGGGGGTGTATTATAGTCCAAAATATACAGTATATTTCAACTTAGAATGGATCTGTTGTTTGTGATAATGTCTTAAAATAGTGATACCACAGAAGGATGTACCCAATATCCTGTACATTTTGGATACTTTTTTCGTACCAGTTTTGTACATATTGGGAGTATACATATGTATAAGAAGCCAAAGCTACCCTGGCTGTTGTGGCTCAGTGGATTGGGCGCCTGCCTACCTATGAACCAAAATGTTGGGGGTTCAATTCCCAGTCAGGGCACATGCCAGGGTTGCAGACCAGGTCCCCAATAGGGGACGTGTGAGAGGCATATCTCTTGTACATAAAGGTTTCTCCCCTTATTTCTCCCTCCTTTCCCCTCTCTCTAAAAGTAAGTAAATAAAATCTAAAAAAAGAAGAAGCAAAAGCTGAGTGGGAGAGATTTTCCCAGAGGATGGGGATTCTAAAGTCCAGTAAAGCCGACAGTGCAGAGTTTCTCCGTATACTGCTTTTCAAAATTGTAATATTCTGTGGAGTAACTGTAATGCTAATGTCTGGGGGAGCGTTGCTCTTGCAGATTGAGGCACTCATTAGAAGTGGAGCCAGTAAAGGGAATTTGGTGGTGTGCTAGCCATAGGTCAGGGCTTTGAAAATCATTATTGCTTCATTTTGCCTTGAAGATGCTACAGAAGCCCTATTCTGAGACTAGGAAACTCAGGCTTTGAAAGATAACTTACTTTTAATACATTTGTATTTTTGTGCAGTTTTGCTCTTTGCTTCTGGGATTATAAGTAATGTTCAGACTGCTAATAGTAATAATACTTTAATTAGTATTTCTACTTGACTTTTTGTTTTGCAGCTTTGATTAGTTTGTCCTTTGGAGGAGCAATTGGGCTGATGTTTTTGATGCTTGGATGTGCCCTTCCAATATACAAGTATGTAAAATTTTTGTCATTTTGCATAAATAAGATAAAATTTTCCTACTTGTAAAGCTTAAAAAATGTTTGTGACTGTAAAAGCAATCCTGAGAAATGTTCATTTACCAAGGTCAGCACTTTTTTAAAAAGTCTTTACTTAAAATTTGTGAATATTTTAGGGCACCAAGATGCGAAAGAGACTTTGGACTGCTGCTCCTAAAGGACTGCTGAGCCTGTTACCACACGGTGGCCCAGACCCACTGGCACCTGCTGACAGAATTAAACGCAAGAAAGTCAAAAAATCCTTTCAGCAAAAAATACCATAGGCAGAGTCAAGAGAAGTTAACTAAGAAAATACATTGTATAAGCAGTTACTTTCCCTAGGGTAGCAAGGAATTTTAAAAGTTAGTAGGATAAATTAGTAAGGAAAATGTGGACAGCGCAATAGAAAAATAAAACAAGGAAAATGAAAGTATATTTTCAACAAGTACGTAAAAGAACTGCAGATTGCTTATAAGTCCATGAAAATATGCTCAGCCTCACTCAAAATTAAATTTATTGGCAAAAATAAAAAAGATGTAGGCAAACAGTCAGTGTCCTGTGCTGTGAGTAGAAGGATAAACAAAGAAGAGCAGTCTTTTTGGAGACCAGTTTGCCTGCAGCTCTCAAAATGTATATTTTTTTCCTATAAACTCACCTTTCCACTTCTTAGAATTTCTCACACAAATTTACTTGCAGGTGTTTGCAGAGATGTGTAGTTGGGGGACAGTATGGGTATTTGTGGCAGCCTCGTTTTACAGGAACAGAAAAGGCTGGAAGCATCCTAAAGGTCTAGCAGAAAGAAAATGGTAAAATTATGGTACATCCATCCATGGAAACATGAGGTGGTCTTGAAAAGGATGAGAAAGAGCTATAATCGCTGGTATATAAAGTTCAGGCTGTATCGTTGAATGAAAAAGTACAGTGATTCATTTACTGAATTTTTTGGACTGTAAGACGCACCCAGGATTTAGAGGGGGAAAATGTGGGGAAAAATTTTGAAGCAAAAAAAATGTGGCAAAATATTTAATAACATAGACTGCTGCACCTCCAACCCCCCACAGCGAGCCAGGTAAGCTACAAATACTTGGGGTATAAGATGTACCCCCTTTTCCTCCCAAATTGGGAGGGGGGCAGGAGCGCGTCTTATGGTCTGAAAAATGCCGTCTGGGTTTAAAGTTTTTCTGTATGCGAGTACGGAAGGATCCACCAAAAGCTCAAAAGGAGAGTTAGAAAGAAAAAACGGGATATGTGGGCAACTTCGAGTTTTCATTTTTTGTGCTTTTCTGCTGTTTAAATTTTTTTTCTTAAACGTATGTTCACTTGTAATTTTTCTATTCTCGAAATATTTAAGAAAAGATTTTTAGTAAAAACATAGATAAATCTTTGTCAAAAGCTTGTGAGTATATGCAGATCTCCACTCTAATGTGCATTTTATTTATGGTAATTTTAAAGTCTGTCTCTTCTTTTTTAACTTCTTATTGTGAGATAATTACGAACTCTATACAGAATTTGCAAAAACAGCACAGAGCAGCCCCCTGTACTCTTCACAGTGCCCCCCAGTGGTGCCTTCTTACCTTAACTAGAGTTATATTACCATAACGAGGAAATGGGCTTCCAATAGCAAGACTATAAACTAAAAGCCATCTATTTCTGTTGTGACAGATTCTGTATTCTGGCTGAAACTTTGCAGTATTGCTTTCAGTTCATTTTCCCTCTCTGGATTTCGGTGCTTTGGGGGGTCCCTAGTGACCCATGTAGAGCTCGGAGGGGTTCCAGCTCTGTGCTAAGGCAGGATACCGTTGAAGTTAAGGGCATGAATTATGAATTTTAAAACTCACTATGATATCCCCATTTTCCATATGTCTCTTTATTTATAACCTAAAAAAATATTTTCAGTTTAGGGCCTTGGGTCCAACTCTTGTAATTTTTAAAGCATTTTCTTTTAATATAAGAAATCTTTCACTAGTTGTATCATAATTGACAATAGGAATGCTATGATTCTCAATGTTCCTTGTTGTAATGTTCAGGTTATAGCTTATTTTTAAGCTAGATCATGTTCTGTACATTGAAATACTCCTTTGGTCCTTATTATTTTTTTTTTAGCATGTTTTATGTGTAGGGAAGTGGCATAGCAAAAACTACATTAACTTGTTTTTCTTTTTCCAGCCAATACTGGCCCCTCTTTGTTCTGTTTTTTTACATCCTTTCACCTATCCCATACTGCATAGCGAGAAGACTGGTGGATGATACAGATGCTATGAGTAATGCTTGTAAGGAACTTGCCATATTTCTTACAACAGGCATCGTTGTCTCAGCTTTTGGACTCCCTATTGTATTTGCCAGAGCGCACCTGGTAAGTCAATACATTCTTCACTAATGTAAAGTTTTTTCTCAGGAAAACGTTTTTGTTAAAATGACATAAAAAAAGAGATAAAAGACATGGGAGCCTGGAGGATAGAGATTTAAAAAAAACTTTTGTTATTTTTAACTGGTAAAAATGATATTGGAGAGCATGGCTCGGGTCTGCAGCACCGTTGGCTCACTGATACTTTGCTGTCAGAATTGGGCGTGACAGCTCATCAGCCTGGTGCTGAACAACCGTAGGCCTGCCCTGGGCAGCTCCAAACATGAAGATCCAGGGAGATCTAGGGTTCTTCACAGGTGGGAAAGTACAAGAGAGAAGGCGGGTTATTTACGCTCAGTTCTTCCTCTCAAACTCCCCAACCAGATTCACTCTTCCATCTCCGGGGAAGCAGAGAAGGGGGACTGGCCACCATTCTTATGGAGAGAGTGATCACTCTTACCCCTTTAAAAGAATGTACATGACTGTGTTTTCACCTGTGATACTTTAAATAAAACTTTAGATTCACTTCCCTCAATAATGTGAGAGTTACTATTATAAATCTTATTGTTTTAGATTATGATTGGCATACTAGAGCCTTGATTTGTTATTCATTTTCTTTGGTTTTCCTATGTCTGTTAACCGAGTATTTATATCTTGTTTCCGTAGATTGAGTGGGGAGCTTGTGCACTTGTTCTGACAGGAAACACAGTCATCTTTGCAACTATACTGGGCTTTTTCTTGGTCTTTGGAAGCAATGATGACTTCAGCTGGCAGCAGTGGTGAAAGAGACTGGGGAACTGCTGTCAGGTGGACTTCTCGTCACTGGTTGGCCATCCACGCACACAGGAGATGGGGCAGCACCGCTGAATGGCGTAGCAAGCCTCTCGGGGTGTTCTAGGTGCTCCCCTCTCACTTGTATTGTAAGCGTACTATTTCCACAGAGACTTGCTAAAGGATTAAAAGGATTTTCTCTTTTGGAAAGTTTGACTGATTTCACACTTACCTATAGTATGCTTTTGTGGTGTCCTGCTGAATTTAAATATGTATGTGTTTTCCTTGTTCACTTTTTGTTTTAAATCAATATGCAATGTTACATATTTTTTAAATGTAGTAACTGTTCACATTGGTTAGAAATTAGATTTCTTCTGGCTTTACTGGGCTAAAGTATGTCTTTTCTCTTAAAATTATTTAACCTTCATTATTACAAAAAGTTACAAAGTAAGTTTTCAATCAGTCAGGATGACATCACTCCCAATTTTATGCAAACATTTAGACTGTTGGCATACCTTATAGATTATATACTCAGCGCCAATCTAGCTGCATTTATACCTCAGAAGGGCCAGGTATTAATGCCCGCACTCTCCATAAGGGTTGCTGGTTTTGCCAGTGAGCAGGTGTTTTGTGAATTGAAAATTATTTTATGGAATTGCTACAAAAGAGTGCTTTTCTTCTCAATTGTTTGAGGAATTTTTTGTTGAACTTTAAGGTAAGGGTGTAAAAACAGATTTTTAAGATACGATTTTTATTTACATTTATGATAAAGAGTTGCAGATAGTTAAAGAGTTGCATTGTGGGAAGAAACAATGTTGAAACTGCATTTTTTGAATCCCGTTTCTATTTATAAGGGAAATTTCTGATCCTCTGTCAGCCTTTCATGTTCTACCGTGGGTAAAATGGTCATTCATGGAACTACTACTGATAAGGGAAAGTTTTATGTTTGCATCATATTTACCAGAAAACCTTTCCCTGCTTTTAACTTATTTTATACAGTGTCTGTGTTAAGTAAAATAACTTTCTGGTGTCATTTAATAACACTTTAAGTTAGAGGTGTTTGACCCACCTGGAGAGAAATTGCTGCACCAGGCACCGCCGTGCCCTCTGCCCCACAGGCCTTGACGTGATCGACGAGCGACTTGCTGGTCCTGCAGGCGATTCCTGCGTTAACAATTTAAGATTTAGACTGTGGTGATTGTAGTTCTTACTCTCTAGGATTTCATCCTATGTTATTTAAAACTATTTAAGACAAGTTTCCTGTATACCTCTCAGTTGTTTTCATTTTTATTTCATCGCGATAGAGCTGCCGTTTCCTCTTTAATGGCATTTATTGTGTGAATTAATGCAAAGCAGCCAAATCCAGCTGTACAGCAGCTTCGAACACAAACCTGACCCCAAATTCCCAATAACCAGGCAGATCAAATTGTAGTGATTATTTGTAGCTCACAATTATCAATACTTTTTTCAGGAGCTAGTTACGAAAATGTTCAAATTGGCCTGGCAGTATTTTGTTAAGGACATAGATTTGTATGTTTATTCAGTATAGTTACATAAAACATTGTTTTGCCTTCAGACAAAACTCAGTAATCATGACAGCTGGCTTTAGTTATTTTATAAAGTGTATTTCTCAAGAAAATGGGAACAAACTCTGGGCTGGTTCATATTTTTACTGAAGGTGCCTCAAGGCCACAGGTTTTATAGCCGAACCCAGGTTGTTGCTTGTAGCCGTGAGGTGGGAGGCAGAGTGAAGTGTCTGCACATCACCATGCTGAGACTTAAAGAGGAAGAAGGTTCAGGACCACGTGAGTTAGCTGGTAAAACCACTGGGAGCTCAGGGCCTGTGATGGACTGGGTTTGGGGTTTTGTTTTGTTTTGGCAGGAAGTGCATTTTCTGGTCCTTCCCTGTTTTCTGTTCTAGAATGTCAGTGCAGGACACTGCAACAGTTTTAGTCACGTAGCTACACCCTCTTTTTCTAACAGCGCATAGTCTTTCTGTATACTAATTGCATTGGCAGCATTGTGGTTTTGATCTTGCACACTGGCCTGACATAGTGCTGTCTTTGATTTCTAGGCTGGTTACTTGAGGTATGAATTTTCCATAGAACGTGCACTGATACTTCATTGCCATTCTTCTATGGAAACAGAACTTTTGGTGATGAAACAATAAAAATTTTAAATATCTATTTTTAGTTTGTGGGTGTTTTTGAAATGAAAATGTGCTACACACTTCAGTTTCCGAAGTATGTTATCCATTTAATAGTATGATACAAAGAAAATGTGACATTAGCTCTAATGATAGACTTGCAGGAGTTTCACTTCCAACATGAAATGGACACCATAGTAATAAATATTACAAGGAAGCCCTGCAGTGTTGAGCTATAGTAAAAGATTGCTAATCTAGGAAAGTAGAATTTTTACCCAACTTTTTAGAAAAGCCATAGAAGGTTTTGTTGACATAAACAGATTACTGATCATCTAAAGTCAGGGTTGTACTTGTTCTTAAATTTTAGAACTTTTTTATGACTGCCATATTTTACTATCTTTATCACCATTTATTATTGGAGTATTTTGTTCTTTGCAAGCATTAAAAGCAGTTAAAAGTAAAAAATCTGCAGTTCAATGTGAACAGAGAAAAGTACTACTGTCTTTTATCAGACATGACTCTTTTCCCAAATTATTCTAATTCTAATCTCATTATCTACTGTATAAAGTTCAGATTATGGGTTCTTAGTGTCTGTATGATTTGGAGGACACTGTCAGAATAGTCCAGGTTTCTAGAGTAACTCTAGAATATTTATATGAAATGTGACTAGATTTCATAAGTTTCAGATAACTTTCGACCAACGCAACAACTGTAACAAGCAGCCATGCAGCATTACTGTTAAGTAATATGTATGTTTCAAATCTCAGGAAGCCTTATGATACGTAAAATTGGTAGGAAATGCAAATTCATATACCTCCCATATAAACCTGTATTGTTTCTCTTGGGGAAGTTTAGGAAGCTCTTAGTCTATTGCAAACCTCCTAATTTTCTGTCATTCCCAGGGATCGAACATATCCTGTAAAATAAATATTCCAGGTAACTGAAGCTGAACTCCAAAAGAACTAACATTTGCTAATTGGAAACCTGAATGAAAGCAAAAGATACTTATTGTCTGCCAGCGGTGGTGTGCAGGCTTTTGCAGATGAGAGGTTTTCAGGGGCAGATGAGATTTTCATTCCCCTGCTTTTAACCAGATGCAGGAGATCTGTGACCTTGGCAGTGGTTTCCTCACCTCTGGGCTACAAGTATGGGGGACTTCCCCTGGAGATCTCCTTAACTTTTGCTCCCCCGAGCATCCCAGTGCTTTTGTTGTTCTTACTTTTTTAAAGCAGTCAACTTTAGGTGCCAAGACAATTCAGTGGAGAAAGAAAAGTGTGTTCAGCAGATGTTGCTGAGACAACTGGATATCCACATGGCAAAAGAATGAAGTTGGAACCTTACATCGCACAATATGAAAAAATTAACTCAAAATGGATCATGGGCCTACATTGTAAGAGCTGCACTATGAAAGTCCGAAATTTACATAAGCGTAAACCTTGGATTGGCAATGGTTTCTTAGACTGTGCTTCATCAAAAAAGTAAACCTTTTGTACTCGAAAGGACACTCTCAGGAAAGTGAGAAGACAACCTACAGAATAGAAAATATTGGCAAGTTATATATCTGATAAGGATTAAGTATCCAAAGTATACAAATGACTCATAACTGAACAGTGGAAAGACAACCCAATTAAGAAATGGGCAAAGCATCCCAATAGCCGTTTCTCCAGAGAAGATACGATGCCAGTCAGGACGTGAAAAGATGATCAACATTATTAGTCACCAGGGAAATCCAAATGCAAACCACTGTGAGATGTCGCCTCACACCCCCTGCCATGGCTAGAATAAAAAAGACATAATTCGTTGGCAAGGATGCAGAAAAATTGGAATCTTTCCTACATTACTAGTGGGGATTTAAAATGGTGCAGCTGTTGGGGAACACATTTTGCAGTTTCTCAAAAAGTTAAATACTTACTGTATGACCCAGCAATTCTAATCCTACATATGTACCCAAGAGAATTGAAAATACCTACACGGAAGCTCGTACATGAATGTTTATAATAGCTAAAAAGTGCAGTGTGTTCTGTGAAGTATGTGTTCAAATTTTTTGCACATTTTTATTGTATGGGCTCTTCCTATTGAGTTGTAAAGTCCTTCCTGTGTTGGATATTTTATATATAGTTAGTTAGTTAGTTAGTTAGTTTACACCCACTCTGAAATTTGTGTTTTGCTTTTGTAATGTCTTTGAGACAGCAGATTTAACAGTTACCAATTTTTTTCTTTTAAAAGTAGTTCCCACTTTTTATGAGTTTTATGCATTTCTTGAGTACGTCTAAGGTCATGAAAATTTTTCCTCTGTGCCCTAGAAGTTTCGTAGTCTTGCCTCTTAAATATTAAGATTCACTGCCGGTTATGTTTGTGGGTTGTATGAAATGAGAGTTGCAGTTCATTTTTATTCCCAGGTGAATATTCACTTCTGTCATTGTTTATTGTAAAGACTGACCTTTCCCTTTTCAAATACTTTGGCACTTTTGTAAAAGGATTAATTGACCATGTAAGTGTGAATTTACTATAGATTTATAGTAAGCCTTCCTATTCTTTTTTGTTTCCCCCCAAAATTGTCTATGCTCAGTTCTTGGTACACTTATATAAACTTTAGAGTTAGCTTGTCACCTGCTATTTTTAAAAAGCCTCTTGGATTTTTATTGGGATTGTACTGAATCTGTAGATCAGTTTGGAGGATAATTGAAATCTGAACAAGTTATCCATTGCTGCATGACGAGCCACCCAAAACCTGTTGGCTTAAACCAATGATCGTTTGTTTAGCTCACAAATCCGCGGTCTGGGCAGGGCTTAACAGCAAAGGTGCACTTCTGCTCCCTGTGGTGTCCGCTGAGGTGGCTGCACTGGGGACTGGTGGGTCGCCACACAAGATGGGTCCATTATGTGGCTGGCAAATGGCTGTTGGTTGTTGACTGGGGGCTCAGCCAGGATGGGGGTCAGGGGCCCCTGATCCTCTGCCCTCTGTGACCCTCTGACTCACCATGGAAATTTGGCTTCCTCACAACAGATGGCCGGACTCCTAAGAGTAAATGTCCCAAGAAAACTAGTCACAAGCGTGTGACAATTTTATAACATACATACATTGGGAGTGACATAGCATCACTTCCGTGTGCTCTAGTCTAGTGGTCAAGCTAGTCAAAAAGTTACCCACCCCTCACCCAGGGTCAAAGGAAACAGCCATAGACCACTCAATGGGAAAAGTGTCAATATTTTGTAAAAAAGCATGTGGAAAGGAATGTATTGTGTCCATCTTTAGTAAATATTGAGTGAATATTGAATATTTCGTTGAAATATTTAGTAAATATTTCAACTGAGCACATTATATCTCTGTTTTGGTTTTTAATTTTTCTTGGCAGATGTAGTTTTCACTGTACAGGTCTCGGACTCATTTTACTGTGTCCCCAGGTGTTTCAGGTTTTCCGATGTCAGGTACTAGCATATTCTCTCAAACCTGAAGCACAAAGCGTGTTTGCATGGTCTTGTTCCTGTTTAGGAAACTCTATCTGGGCCTTCAACTGATTTAACTTTAGTTAAAAATTGTGATGTCAATTTGTGAAAAATATGAAGCAAACAAAGCAGGGAGAGGAGAAGGGAACGATGAGGTGGAGAGGGGGTTTAACTTAGACAAGGCGGTTCTTCCTGGGAAGGTGTCATTTGAGCAGAGACATGAGTGATGTGAAGGAGCAGCCATAACTAGATCTGAGCGTGAACATTAGATGGAGGAAACCACAATTTCAAAAGCTCAGAAACCGAACTGTCTTAGGGAGATCGAAACTAGGTCAGAGGTGCATAGACTGCAGTGAAGAAGATGCCAAAAGGTGAAGTTGCAAAGATTAGCAGGTAAACTGCACTGTCTTTTGTAAACTACCGTATTTTGCTGTGTATATTGTGCACATTTTTGCCCAAGTTTTTGAGGGAAAAATAAGGATGCATGTTATTCATGGGTAAAACAATCCCGTGTATAATATGCACAAAAACATGAGTGCACATTGTACGTAGGAACACATCATACACAGCAAAATACGATAATCTTAGAGTTGGCATGCCATCACCTCTGTTGTCACACAAACCAACTTGCTTGAATGTGGGAGAACGCGAATACCAAGAAGAGAAGAGGGATCACTGGGGGTTATCTTGGAGGATACTTATCACAGTGATTTTTACAGTTTTCATAAGATAAGGAAGGGGATTTCCTTAATTGGTACATCTGTCAAATGTACCCAGTACTCTTTTGCAAACTTCTTTTCAAAGTTAACACAAAAGCAGAATGTATTGAACTCCCATGTGCCATCATTTACCTTCAGCAACTTTAAACGTGTGTCCTGCCTGTCTCATCCGTGTGCCCCCATTTGCCATACCTCAGATTACCTAATGCGAATCTAAGACATTTCATCTTTGGGTATATCTCTAAAATGTGACCCTTCTAAACAAATACAATGTAATTACACCTGAAAAAATTAAAATAATGCTATAATATCCAGTTAATGTTCAAATTCCCCTACAAATGGTCCTTTTTGGGTCGGGTTATTTGAATCAAGATCTAAACAAAATCCACACACTTACATAGCTATGTAAATAGGAAAATTTTTAAAAGTCATATGTGCTTAGGTTCAGTTATCATCTAAGAAATGAGGAAATTATCTTTGTTCTTTCCTCCTATCCTAAATATGACCTTGACTTCAGATCATTACAATGTGTTACCCAGTAGGAATAACACTGAGTCAGATGATCTTTCTCTAGGAAAACGCAATTTAAGTTTCAAACAACCTAGAAACAAAGTTGTAGAAAATATCCTATCAGTAAGTTGAGGACGCCAGGAAATGCCACCCACATGTCATCACAGTAGCGGGTTCATCTCAGTCACTTGATGTAACACGCTCAGGTTGGCCATGCAACTAAACCAAGGAAACACCTGTGTTACACGAAGTGTACAGATGCCCTGCAAGGAAGAAACACAGAAATATGTAACTCGACTGATGTAGCTTAACAGGTGTTTCTAAAAAACAGATGCAGCAAAAAACAAGTGAGAGGAAGATAC